TTGGTTCTTTGCCACGGGAATCTCGAACTACCAAGGACTGAAATCGGTTGGAATGGACAATAACTGGATTGATGGGAAGGTATATATATAAGAAATAAATTATGTTTATGCTATATTTATAGTTATAGATGCAGATGTACATGATATTATTAACCTAGTGAAACACAGGAATGATAGAGGAAACGTTAAATGTGATGCTTCGAAATTTGGTCCAGTTCGTGTTTACCGTCTGATAGCAGATTTAGTCTGACTCGAAACGTCAAGGTTTAATGATTCCGATACTATTGTGATAACGTTTAGTTTCGTTTTTGTATGACCAATACTAAGTTTATGTCCACGCAGGCATGTCAATACACAGATAGGTAGATAGATGTCGATACTATACAATATGTACATATATACAAATACAGGAAAAAGACATTTATGACATCAGTAGAAATTACAGTCTATGCACACAAAAATACATTTACGTCCTTGCGTTCGCAGGTGGACAGGTTCGAGAACTTAGTGAAGGCCGTCGGGGTGGAAGGGAGGGCCATCGACGTGGTGAAGCTGGACGTGGAGTTGGCGGAGATAGATTTCCTGCAAGACATGCTGTTCAACTCTCGCCATGTGCTCAAGAACATCAAGCAGATAGCCATGGAAATTCATTCGGATCTGTCAAGTAATGATAACGAGATGCATGTGTGTGCTCGTTTTCACCCACATTTAAACATCTTTTGTACTTATTTCAGCGCAAGTCAGTAAATGAAATGCGGTTTAGTCCTTCAAAGATCTTAAGCGTATGTGAAGTATATAAGCCATATAATAATTTCCTTCCTTCCTTCCAGAAAAAAGCGTGGCTCAGATCACATCACACCAAATATTCTGGCCGTACTTGCACCTGATGAGATGTGCAGGGTTTAAACTCATCGCCTCGAGATCCGGAGGAATCTGGAGAGAGGTTGTGTGGGCGTTGGAGAGAGAGTGGTAGCGTGTAATGCACAGATAAAACATCTCATGTCCGGCACTCCCTTGGCCGTCGCCGCTCCACTGAACTGTTTTGAACCATAGTAAAGCAATAACAGAACACCTATACAGAATTCTATAATATATTGTTGCTGTCATTCCGTTTTAATGCAGTTGTTAGAAATCCTGCACAAAATATAAGAGAAAATATACCAAAAATTAGTTTACTACACTAACATGAGGCAGCATAGTGTAACTATACAGTATTATGGATTTCGAATATATCAAAATATTGCCGAACAACAGAATAACGGATTAGGGATATTTAACCTGTGATCAAGAGAGTGCGGGATCCCCGTTAAGAAATAAATAAAATGTGTGTTATCATTGTTGTGTTCTCCTGGAAAAAAATATTGTTATAGATTATAGTTTAGTTTACTATATATAGTCGTCGATTGTGTTTTGAAATAAAGATTTGCGTAATCGTTTTAATCTTATTTCCATCCTTTTGTATGTCTCTGTCACTCCCACTATCTTTTGCTTGTAAATATCGTATTTATATACCCTCCTCTCTATAGCGGGCCGATCAAAAATTATTTTGTACCTTATTAGTGTCTTTCTATTCAGATTTTGAGTTGAACAAAACCTATAATTGATGAATTTGTCTGTGATACTAGTCAATAAGTAAACCTGTTCGCGAACTGCATAAAGCAACATAGACACTAGCTATTAGCAATGTAGTCCATCTTCAAGAAGTTTCTACTACATAAAAAAACAACTATCAGCAGTCTTCTTATTACCAAAGAGTTGCCTTTTCATTCACGCCAGAACATTAATTCATACCATTTGTGCAGTTTAAACTTGAGGTCGATGAATTATCAGTCAAAATCAATCTTTTCACAACAATATTTTCTTATCATGGTATCTATTCATTTTATTATTAGCAAATTAGTCTTAGTTATCATTAGTCTTAGTTATATTATTTTATCATTATCTCATTAGAATATATATATGTAGATATTTTTTTTAAGATAGCTTGTCTAATTTTTTTTTTATCTGTATGATATGTGCGTTCTCTTAAATCACTTATATACACACTGAAAAGTTAATTCAGTACCATAAAAATAATTTGCAAATAAACCAGCACTTCCTAGGTATTGTGGGCATACTTCGATTTTTTTCCGTATTTTTTGGTGTTAATATAACTAAACTAAAGGGGTTTGTAAACGAGGTATGGCAAGTGGTGGCAGAGAGAGCGGCAAGTAGACGAAGTTATCGGTCTCTCACTTTGTTATGAAAACTGTGTTTGGCAGGAGATGAGTGATGTCAGGTAGTGGCCAAGCAGGTATGCATAGGTTTAATATTTTTTATAACAGTGCACCAAGTTTTTTTTTTTCTTTTTTTTTAGGGTTGGTACACAGGTGCCTTGGATGACCCGTTGGGAATAAGAAGAACAAGGGGTATTTCCGGCTAGGCTACTTTGCAAAGGATCTGTTAAATGTAGGACGCATGAACGGAATTCCTCATGTCCTACCTCATATCTTTTATTATT